GGGTCCTGGGATCGAGCCCCGCATCAGGGTCTCCACGGAGTGGAGAGCCTGCTTCCTCCTCTCTCTCTCCGCCTGCCTCCCTGCCTACTTGTGATCTCTGTCTGTCAAATAAATAAATAAAATCTTTAAAAAAATAAAATAAAATAAAAAATATTTGCCTAGTAGGCAATGGGCAGAACTTACACCAGCAACTAGGTGTACCCTTCTACCATAGCAGGACCAAGCCAGGAAGGGGAAGGAAGCTGGAAACTTCTCCTCATGTCCTCACTATGGACAAGTTAGACCAGGGCAGGACCTCAAGGCTGAAGTACTCCTTCAAGGAAAGAGTGATGCCTTTCCTGTGCATGCTTTCTCTGAAGCTGTGTGACACGGCAACCCTCCCCACCAGTGGCCGTGTCAAGGGCCACTGGGAAAGTCTGCCCATGCCCCGCAATCCAGGAGGTCACAGGGCCCTGAGGAGAGCCATCTCGGGCCAAGACCAATCTGCCCAGCTGTAAATAAAACAAAGCTGTGGCTCTCATTCAGCTGCTGTTCCCCGTGCACGTCCAGCTCCCCAGAAAGAGGAGGAAGTCTTGAGGGAGGAGTTGGGCCCCAGAGCCCGGTCTGCAACCCCAAGGGATCCCGCAGCTTGGCCGCAGGCAGACAGGGGAGCTGCTGTTGGGGCCGCAGACAGCTGTCAATTATCACACGGCCGCCCCGGGAGGACTGACAGCTACACGGAGCCACAACGGCGCTCCCGGGCCAGCAGCTGACGTACAGCGTGGCTCAGATCCAACCAGCAAAATGGCTTTTTCCTCGTGGCCCACGCAGCAGACTGAGGCCTCCTCCCCTAGGGGAGGGTGAAACGGTGACTCGGTGGGCTGTTAACCCGTGCTGAACCCGGCTGTCCTGACGTGTGCAGCCAGCCCCTCTCCGTTGACCGTCGCACGGCTGGCTCCCTGAAGTGACCGTGGGGGGCCGGCTCATCTGTCTCCACTTAGCCCTCCTCCGTTTGTCCCTCTGCTCCTTGGGGACACCCAGCCCAACCCTCCACCCCCACCTCCCTGCCACGGTCCAGACCTGGACCTCTAATGCCCTCGAGGGACTTGGCAAGTTTTCATTCCACCGCATTCTCTGATTGTAGACCCCGCTCCTCTGGGCACTTGTCCTGAGACTGATGGGACGGGTCCCCAGCCCTCGCACCTCCCTCTGGGCTGAGTGTCTGACAAGCGAGTGGGCTGCTGGTGTGCAAGAGGGCAGGGGGGGTGGGGGCACTTCTCCTCAGCAGCTGGGCGTCAGGTGATTTTGGCCCATGGGGCAGAATCAAACTTCACAGAATGAAGCCTCCTTCCTAATGTCCTGTTTGGCCTCTCGCCAGGAAGGGCCCAAATCAGAAGACGTGGTGGGTGAGGTTGTGGCAGGACGCGTATGAGGGGCCACTCCGGGAGCTGGCTCCCAGATGGAAAGTCTCGTACAGTGGGGCTCTGGTTAGCACCTAACTGGGAGCCATGGAAAGTTCTTGAGGAGAGGAGTATGTAAGCAGAATGATATTTTAGGAAAATGTGCAGAAGAAAAGCCTGGGGGTAGAGGACCAGTTAACAGCTCTGCCACAGCCCAGGAGAGAGGACCTGAACTACGGCAAAAGTCCAGAAAGCACCAAAAGGTAGGGACAAGCCACAGGTTGAGCAAGCTAAGAAGCCAAGGCAGCAATTTCCTCTTAAAAGTCCACCTGGAATGGAACACGGAGGTGCAGGAGGGAGGTAGCCTTCGAGAACATTCAAGCCAGACACTTCTTCTCACAGATGAAGAAACTGTCCCCCAGAAGCCCAGGGGAAGTGACGCTGAGTACCAGGTCCAGACTAGCCACCACCGAGTGTTTTATGATCTCCCTCCCAGTCACCCAGTGAGCCATTTTTTTTCCCCTGGGATCATGAAAATTGGCAGGGAGAGGTTCACAGATGGGTCCCACACTGGGGCTAGAAGGCAGCCTGCACTTACTCCACCCTGTTCCCCTCTCAGGAAGAAAGGGCCTGATCCTCTGGAAAGCAGCAGTGGCCAAAGAGAAACAAATTTGGTTTTAGATCAAAGGGCAATAGTGGGAGAGACGAGCCAAAAGCACGTTGCCCACCAATGGGGGAGAATGTGAGAGGGCACCCACCTGCTAGAACGTGGGGCCAGCTACAATTAGCCCCTGGAAAGGGCACCAGTGTGATGAGTCACCAGCAAACAGAAAACTGAGTTCGGCTGTGAACTCCGTTGGTAAGGACCGGCGCCCCTCATCCACAGCCAAGAGCCCTCGTGAGAGCTGGCCCACACTCAGAGAGGGAGGAGCCCCAGAAAGGGCCAGGTCCCCTTGAAGCAGAGGCTGAGCTGGGGATACTGGGGTATCGAGCGTGGGGTCTCCGGAGGAACTTGTAGGGAAGTCGGGAAAGTAGGCATGGGAAGACACGGGGCCGAACAGAGACAGGGACTCAGCAGAAGACGGGGTAACCAACCACCCTGGTCTCCCCAGGATGGACAATCCCCAGGGACACAGCCTTCCAGAGCTAAAATGCAAGTCACGAAAAAACTGGGACAGCTTGGGCACCATACATCCGCCTGATCCCACAGGGACCTCTGGAGCAGGAAAAGTTCCCACAGGGTTGTCCCTTCCCTTTAAAGCAGAGTCCGGGCTTTTATATCCCTGGTGGAGGTCATTGGCCATACCTCTTCCCAACCCCCCAGGTGAGGGGTAACCTCCAGGTACCCCTGGATAAAGTAGATCCCATCGACCAAGGATGGTCCCTATGAGACAGAGGTGGCCGTGAGCCAGTGCTAGCCAACACGGATCACCGCTAACAGGTGCAGCAGGCAGGGAAAGGGGTCTTGGCGACACCCCCCGCCGGTATCCACTACAGGAAGCATGTAGCCTCCAAAGGACAACTTCCTCCATGGCCTTCATGCCCCGAACTCTCAAGCCACCCTCTCTAGTCCCTTGACACGCAGCAGAGTGCCTCCAGCCCTGATTAACAGAGAGACGTGCATCCCGGGGGGACTTCTGGGAAGCATGCAAGCCGGCCGTTCCTTGCTTCCCATGGGTGCTAGTGGCATTGTTCAAGGCTTTCCCTAAGGCCTCTTTGATGCAGATGAGCGAAAGTCCCCAAGTTAAACTCGTGGTTCTGCTAATCATCAATGGCACAGAGCACGGCATCTCTTTGCCCACATTCTACACGTAACTAAGCCCCGAGAAAAATGTGAAAATGTTTGCTCATTGGAAACTGCCTATCACCTGTCATCTTTCTTTTTTTTTTTTTCCAGACTACGAGGGTTCCTTGGGACTCCTTGGTGGTGTTTCAAGTTTGATGAGCATTAGTAGTCAAAAGTACGATTATTATGGAACGAACAGAGGTGTGAACTGTAACAGATTCCTAAGATGCATATTGGGTTTCTCCAGGAATTTGTTCAATGGGCATTTATTGTACACCCACTGTGTACCATGTGGCTCGGAGCTGCATGCTGGGGAGACAAGAGGAAAAGCACCAGGTCAGGGAGTTCGTGGTCCCATACGAAGCCAGAAGCAGATGAATCCCAGGGATAGTGCTAAGGGATTATAGAGTAAGGGGCATCAGCCTTACCTGAGATAGGGCACTGGGGGTAGTGGGACCTGAAGACCCCTGAAAGCTGATCTTTAAAGATGAAGCGTTTCTCAGGTTGAAACAGACACTGCTACTCAACCCCCAATATCTGTAAATTTTTCCTGATTTGGGACCCAAACCAAAGGACATCTGGAATATAAACTATATTTCCCAGCTTCCTTGTGGCCAGACAAGGCCATGTGACTAAGTATGCTGGTTGATGGGATTATGGTGTCCCTGTGTGACTTCCAGGAAACATCCATCAATGGAAGGGGCATGCCCTTCATCTCTTCCTCCTTCCTGTTGGTTTGTGGACTGCAGAGGTAATGGCTGGAGCTGGCGCAGCCATCCCCAGTCATGAAGTGCACTCGTGCTGAAGAGGATAGAGCAACAAATTGATAGAAGCCTGGGTCTCTGACAACTTTGTGAAACTACTAGAATGGTCTTGGGGGTGTAATTCCAGTTTTATTTACAGAAAAAAAATGTACTTCTATTGTGTTCAAGCCAGTGTTATTTCGGAGTTCCTACAACTTTCTGCCAAACCTAATTCCAACAGGTGAAGAAGTAAAGGTAGAGCAATTCCATCCTAAACGCACAGCCCATGAATTAATTACATTGGCTCTGGCTTTGGCTTGTGTGGGTCATTTTTCTGGTGTCGGTCCCCCTCCCCCCAAAGTTTCTCACTAGCCCTTCTGCTTTTTATTTCTTTTAGCCCCTGTGCTGGCTGCACACTACCAGAGCCCTTTTCACAGAGGAAGGACTTGCTGTCTCAGCTTCTGGGGGTAGTGTCAACAAAGAGCCTTTGGCTCTCAGCTCTTTGGGGGCAAACCTCTCCCCTAAGCTCACACTTCTACTCCATGTAACAGCCATCAGTGACTGATGTGGAGAGAGGGAGGCTGGCCATCTTGGTCCAACTGAAGGCCCCTCGGTGGAGCCATCTCCTAGCTCCAGAGCTCCCCACAGCATCAGCTGAGGCTGGTCCTGGGCACATGGCAGCTCAGCCTTTCTCCCCACTGGCTCCTACTTCCTTCCCTTTCCTTCTGCATGGGTTGATCTCAACGGCACTCCTTAGTTCTACTGTCCTACACTTCGAACTTCATCTCAGAGTTGGCTTCCTAGACCTTCTAGACCCAACCTGCAATGATTCTGATTTCTTGGGCTACATCCCAATCCTTCAGTTTCTCCCCTCTCCACCATCTCTGGACAACAAATTAGGGCCAGTGACCCCATCACTTAACACCATGTTCAACCAGCACCTCCAGTAATTAGCACTTACTGTGAGCTTTCCGTGATCCTAATGGAAGCCTCTGAGTGGACTCATAAGCTAGAGTCCCCTCTAGCCATCTCCAAAGTAATCCACAAAGAGGCAACATGGATAAACTGAGCCTTGAGTACAAATCACAAAACCTGGGCTCTCCACCCACCTTGGCCTCCAGTGGGCTGTGTGACCTCAGAGGGGCCACTCAGCTTCTCTGTGCTTTGAAGGCTTGAACCTGAAAGCAAAAGCCACAATTTTGACTTCACAGGCCATTTTTGTTGCTAAACCAGAGGTTGGCAAACTCTGGCCTGTGGGCCAATTCTGACCTGTCACCTGTTTTTGTAAATAAAGTTTTATTGGAATGCAACCCTGCCCGTCTGTTTCAACGTTAGCTCTGGCTGCTTTTGTGCTATATAATGGCAGAGTTAAGTAACTGTAACAGAGCTTATCTGGCCTGGAAAGCCTAAAATTTGCTTGCTACATGATCCTTTGCAGAAAACATTTGCTAGTCCCGTATATAAACAAATTAACGTGTTACTGTATTTCTTGCCTCAAGAATGAGGACTAGAATCTTTCCATTCATTCAACATTTATTGAGCACCTACTAGGTACAAGGCCTTGTTGTAGACACTGGAGCAGCAGTAGTGAACAAACCACGGGTAGCCCCTGCTCTCCCAGAGCCCACGTTCCGGTGGAGGAGATAGGCAGTAAACAAACTAATAAATATGTCGTAAGTGTCATGGAGAAAATAGAGCAAGGCATGAGAGAGAAAGAAGGGGGTAGGGTGGGCCTGAGATTTTCAGTCTAATGTTAGAAGAGGACTCCTCTGGTAGGGGTGGTATTGGAGTAGAGACCTGAAGAAAACAAGACAGCAGGCCATGCAGATATCTGAGGTAAAAGCATTCCAGCAGAGGGAGCAGCCAGTACAAAGGTCCTGAGGCAGGAACATGGCTGGTTTGTTAGAGACACATAAGGAGGCCAGTGTGGCTGGAGAAGGGATGAGGGTTAGGAAAGGAGAAGGCAACATCAGGGCACTCACAAGGGCCCAGATCCTAGAGGGCCTTCCAGGGCATTGGAAAGGCTCTGGTTTTTACCCTGAGAGAGATGTGGTGTCACAGGAAAGCTCTGAAGAGAAGAAGGACATGTCAGACTTAGATCTAAGGATCCTTCTCTCTTCTGTGTAGAAAATGGACTGTAAAGGTCACAGGAGGGGGTGACAGCAGAGGGACCAGGTGAGAGATTAGGGAAGCTCAGACCAGGGAGGTGGAGGCAGACGTGGGGAGAAGCGCTTAGACTGGGATGTTTTGAGGGCAGAGCCAATAAGCAAGCATGCTTGTCCCGAGAACAGGGCTGAAGCTGGAATTACCTACTTTGGTCTTTTCCCTCACATGGGGATCTTGTCCCCTAAAGCCATTTTCTAGATGCCTGGCATGGTAGGAATTTATCAGCCCTGGAAGCCCGCCCTGTCAGAAATTATCTATGTGAGCGTCACTGCTGAGGGAGACAGATCTCTCCTCACCCAGGGGGATTTCAGCAGCTAGTGAAGGTGACAGAATTTCCCCCGTCACCCCCTCCCTGTTTCATCACAGCAAAGTTCCTGTGGGATCCAGAGCTGGTTCGGGGGCAAACAGGCAGACAGAGCAAGCTTTAAATTGAAATCAAACCTGTCCCTCCTCCACCCAGAGCCCTCCTATGACACCCTGGGTGAGAAGGTGGAGGTCTATGCCCCCCTCCGCCGGAACCTGGGCTGACCTTAGTGACTCACCAGCAGCCCGTAGAATGGAACAGAAGTGACGCCGCATGCCATCTGAGGGGAGCTCAAAAAAGGCCATGTGGCTTCCACCCGGCTCTTGGAACGCTCATTCTGGGGGGTGCCAGCCACCACGCAAGAAACCCAGCCACCCTGAGACACCATGCTGGAGGGTCCTTGCTTACGCACCCCCGTCAACAGTGTCAGCAGAGCTCGCAGCTGACCGTCCCATGGGCGCGTCATCTTCGATGTCCAGCCCAGTCAAGCCTTCAGATGAGTCCAGCCCTGGTTGGAGAGACTCCAAGCCAGACTGTTCGGCCAAGCCCCTCCTGATTTCCCAGCCTGGAAAACCACAAGCAAAGTAAAGCTACAAAGTTGGGGAACAAGTGGTTGTACCACAAGAGTACTCGAAACGCCGGTGGTAGCGGAACCCCACTGCCAAGGACCTGGAGGTACAATAGAATGGGTCACACAACGTCCCCTACATACCTGCAGAGGGACAAATGTCACAAGGGCAGCATCAGGCTACCGTGGGCTTTGCTCCTCCAGGATGAGTCCCCTTGAACACCGAGGGTGATGGGGCCCTTGGTACCATGCACCCAAGGCACAGTAAATGTTGCTAGGGAGTGAATCTTTCTGCAGTCAGCTCCTCTCTGGGGGTGGTGGCATGGGAGGGGTGAGTCCCAAACTCCAGAGAGTCGCCCCCCAGGGGCTGAGCAGTGTCTAATGCAAAACAGAGACTGGGGGGCCACGGAGTCCAATGAGGGAGAGATTTATGCCTCTTACTCTCCATCTGCAAAGCAAAACAAAAATAGCTGAAACGCTGGTTTTCTGCTTTATCGGCTCTGTGAATAAGCATATAAATTTCTATGACATTTCTGGAGGCTTGCTGAAGGGGAAAAAAGCCATCCCCCAGGACATGGCCAGCAGCCGTGGCAGCATATGGTTTGCTGAGAGCAGAGGCAGAGTACGTTGTGTGTCGGTGGGCACTGAAAAAGGTGACTTTGCGGGTAATTCCAGACTCCAGGCAGAATTTTCACCTTTTTAAAAAATTTTCCTTTTTTTTTTTTTTCATTAAAAAAAAAAAAAGTCCTGCCTAAGCCAAGGGAGCTGTCATGGCCAATGGCTCCTCAGCAGGGAAGCGGGATTATGTCAGGGCAAGCACAAGGAGTCCAGTCCCATCCCAGGCACCTTGGGGCCCCAGGCTTCCTTGAGAGCTCATGGTCAGCCTCTGGAATGGGAAGAGAATACCCCAGTGACAAGCTCACCTAGAAGAAAGAGGGAGACAGTCTGCAGAACACGTGGAAAGCCCAGAATAACTGAAGAATGAGAACGGGAATGTAGCATTTTCCTTTTCGCTCCAGTGTGGACTCAGGCAGGAAGTTCAAAGAAGACGTCTCCAACCCCAGGAGGCAGCAGGAGCCCGGACCAACATCAGGTCAACATCAGCCCAACAGGGAGACAAAGCCCACCAGCCTCCCGCCGGGAGGCAGCAAGGGCATGGCTTGCACGTAGTTTCATGGGGATGGAGAAGACCAGCAAACTATTCAGCTCCCTCTGGACTTAAATTCCATGATTAGACTGATGCTTCTGGCTCTGGCCAAACAGGGGCTTTGTCCCCCTTTAGGCTGTAATTACACCTTTCCCTTGTGTGCACTATTACATTGGTTTCTTATCAGTCATTTACACTTTAGTATAAATGAGTATATTAGAAACGACCCTGAAAGTAAATCAATATGAGGAGGAGGGAGAAAGAGAACATGAAGGCACTGAGGTAGGGAGAATGATTGATGGCAAAGCATAAGCAAAGAGATTCGAAGAAGGAATAGAGAAGAAAAAGATAGCCCATAAACAAGCCTAGATTTCTGTTGAGTTTCATCCAGAACCCCACCCTGCTGTGGCAAGCCAGGCTGCTGAAGGGATAAAGTGGCTGGAAATACTCAGAAAATGAAATAGTGCAAACAGAAGCACTGTGTCTGGTGTGGAGAAATGAGCCGTCCTCTCTCTCTCTTTCCAGGAGCCTATACTAGGGATAGAGCCCTTTCGGTGTATGCGTCTCTCCCCAGTGACACTCTGAGAGTCTTAAGACAGAGAATTCTGCCTGCCTCCTCTTTGTATCTCTAGGCAGCACAGATTTGTGAATGGGCCACACCTGAGAACTAGGTAGCAAATTGTCTGTCATTTCAGCAAAGATACCTCGTGCCCGGTGCTGGGCTGGGAATGGCATACTTTGAAACACGCACAGCCCTGGCCTGGGAGAGAAGTCACAGCAGAATTCTCAGAAGCTGGGCTAGATCCTTTGGACCGTCCAAGCAACCAGACCAGGATGTCTTATGAGAACCTGGGGATCCTGTCTATAGCCAGAGAAACCCTTGTCCTCTGTTGGCTCAGCTGTGGTCAGTGCCGGAAGGCAGGAAGGAATAAGCAGAATTTCAGAAAGTTCTTGGGATGGTGGGGACCAAGAATTTGGCAAATGGAGAGCAAATTGTGGTAGGAACTAGATCATTCTGTGATCAGGTCGGTGGGTAGGGGGCAGAAGTGTCACTGGTACTGTTAAGACCTCCAACCTTGCTCTTACCATCTCTCCAGCTGCACTGGTGTGTATGGGGGGGGGCAGGGGGGGGCCCAGAACGATCTGCCTATCCCTTAACCCTCAGAATCCAGGCATGTGAGCTTATTCGGGACAAGAGTCTCTGCAGACGTAGCTAAGAATCTGGAGAGAAGGTTGTCCTGGATGTTCCAAGTGGCCCCTGAATCCAATGACAAGTGTCTTTGTAAGAGACACAGGGAGGAAGGACACACATGGAGAGAAAAGGCCACATGACGTCAGAGGCTGAGATTGGAGGGACGTGGCCATGAGCCAAGGAACACTGGGAGGGGAGCCACAAGAAGCCGAAAGACACGAGGAGGGATCCTCGCCTAGAACCTTCCGAAGGAGCACAGCCCTGCCTCCAGAACTGAGACACCATCTATTTCTGTCTTCCTAAGCCCCCCGGTGTGTGGTAACTTGTTACATTGGGCCCAGGGAGCTCATACAACTGGTCTCATTGTTCCTCAAACAAGCCCCCCCCACACTCCCACCTCCAAGCTTTTCACCCACTGCTCCCTCCGCCTGGAACATTCTCCCAGATGCCAGTGTGGCTTGCCCTCTCACCCCCTTCAGGTCTCGCTTTTTAGGAAAGCCCCACTGGGCGGCCCCCATCTAAAAATACTGCCCCACACACCCCCTCCGCGCTACCCATGTCCCTGCTTGGCTTAACTCTTTCCATAGTGTTTATCACCTTCCAACCTACTAGAAATGGAGCTTACCTATTTTGTTGATCACCTGTGGTCTCGCCTTTGCAAGGATCTTTTGCTGACTATTCTGTTCACAGCCCTTTCTGCAGCACTTAGGACAGTGTCTGGCTCGGAGCAGGCGTTCAATAAATGTTTTGCAAATAAATGACTGATCTGAGCACATTAAGAATATTAAGGGAAATAATGATGCCTATTCCACACGGCTTTATACGGAGCTGACTGCTTTTATCAACACTGTCTCTTTTGCTCGTCGCAATGGCTCCAGGAGAGGACACCGAGGCTTTATCTCCCAGAGAAGGGATCTCGAAGAGGCCAGAGTCTGAGTCTACCTTCGCCAACTCTACAGCCCTGCCTTCCTTCTAGCGCACGCACAAGCAAAGGCGTCTGCTCAGGAGTTGCCAAGAACACGGGACCCCGCATTGTGAGTGGGGCAGAGCTAATTATGAATCACGTAATACATGTTTAATGCTCAATATTGGCAGGTTGGCATCTGTGTGTGTGTGTATGCGCGCATGCTTGTGTGTGTGTGTGTGTGTGTGTGTGTGTGTGTCTGTGTGTAATTAAGATTGAGGAGGCTTGTTCCCAACGACTATGATTGTTGCCAAAGTCATTATCTCTACGCTATAAGGATGTGACGTTCAGATTCATTCATTCAACAAACGCTCATTCAGCAAACACTGGAGCACACTGACCTGCTCTCACCCGCTTGGCCCAGCCACGAGGTCACCTTAGCTCAGTGGATGGTTCCAAACATTCCATGGGCTTCCACTCTCAGACATCTGTCTCTCCACCTTCAGGCCACACCACAGGCAGCGGGAGGCAACACCCCAGGGAAAAGCCTCAGCCTTGAGTGGGGTAGGGAGCTGGAGTTGGTCCCTAATGACCCCAGCTTCTTTGCCCCTCTGTCGAGGACCACTCTGGCCTGTGTGTCACAGTCCGCCAAAGGGCCCCCACCTGCTTCCAGGGCTTTCCTCCCTTCTCTGTCTTGCTTCTGGACCCCCTCACTGTGCTCCCCGGGATGTCCTCCCAGATGCACGACTCATACCCACATCTTTGTCTCAGGGTCTGCTCTGATACCAGGCGAACTAGGATGCTCTTGCCATGTGCTGCGGAGCCCGTTAGCAGCTGGAGAGTCAGAGCCGAGTAAGCCATGGCGAGGTGCCCAGAGTCACAGAATGACGGTCCCCACAACGGAGGAATCTGGAAAGTCGGCTCCCTCTGAAATGTGGCACTCCCTCTGGCAGTGTATATCAGCTCTGTGAACTCTGGGGACACGCCAGAGGGGTGACATATCACTAAGTCGTTTTCCAAAAACACCTTCCAGGGCCGTTGACAAGCCAAGCAAGAAAGTCAAGCTCATCCAGCTGTTGTGGTTCGTCGCACCTCATTTTTGATCCTGGAAAGGATGTGATGGTTCCTTGAGCCCCCGGGTCTCTCCCGAGCCTGCTGCTGGGCACGGTGCCTCAGCCAGGTGGATCTGGGTTCCCCAGTGTGGCCAACTTCTCACCTGGTCACCAAGGTGTGGCCCATGGGACCAGGATCTGTGACCTCTGAAGCCACCTGAAAGCACGGGACACGGGTCCCAAAGACCCAGGCATGAGACGTGTCCCCAAAGTATTTTTGAGCTACAGTAGCCTGGTGATGTGGCAAATGACTCCCCAGGGGCCTCCCTCAGAGATGAGGCTCAGTAGCAAGAGGCAGTTCTAGAACACTGGGTTTTGGTTTGTTGTTGTTTTTTTTTTAAGATATTAGAACTTTTTTGAAGATTTTATTTATTTATTTGAAAGAGAGAGAGACAGAGAGAGTGAAAGAGAGAGAACACAAGCAGGGGGAGGGGTAGGCAGAGAGAGAAGTAGACTCCCCGCTGAGCAGGGAGCCCGACGCAGGGCTCGATCCCTGGACTCGGGGATTATGACCTGAACTGAAGACAGACGCTTAACCGACTGAGCCACCCAGGCACCCCAAGTTTTGGGGCTTTTTTAAGATTGATTGATTGAGGGACACCTGGGTGGCTCAGTTGGTTAAGCAGCTGCCTTTGGCTCAGGTCATGATCTTAGCGTCCTGGGATCAAGTCCCACATCGGGCTCCTTGCTTGGCGCGAAGCCTGCTTCTCCCTCTGCCTCTGCCTGCCTCTCTGCCTGTGCTCGCTCTCGCTCTCGCTCTCTCTCTCTCTCTCTCTGACAAAATAAAATAATTTTTTTTTAAAAGATTGATTTTTTTTTTAAGATAGAGAAAGAGAGAGCATAAGCAGGAGGGGCAGAGGGAGAAGGAGAGATAATCTTGGGCAGACTCCCCACGGAGCTCAGAGCACAACTTGGGATTTGATCTCATAACCCTGAGATCATGACCTGAGCTGAAACCAAGACTTGGACACTTAACCAGATGGGCCACCCAGGCGCCCCTAGAATGCTGGGTTTTAATACTAGGTCTTATTAGCTTCAAATTATACCATTACTGATGTTAAATCAAATAGAGAAAGAAAAGATGGTGAAGAAA